GCGCCTTTGGGTTTTCTCGGCTCTGCTGGTGGCTCTGGACGCAGCTTGGGTCGGTTCTCACCGCACCTGCAGCAGGGGAACGTGCTCCTCTCTGGAGCGCCCGTTGTCCGACACGCAGCCAGTAACCATCTCCCGACTGAAGCACGGCTTTCCCCCCACCCCAGCTCCAACTCTGGCGATGAGAGACAGAAATGGAAGAAGAAGAAAAGCAAAAGCAGGGACCAGCACCATAAAAGCCAGAAGAAACACCGCTCGCGGTCCCGGGGTCGCTCCTCTGGCTCGAGCTCCGAGCGTGAACGAGACAAGAGAAGAGCCCGGAGCAGAGAGCGGCGGAGGAAGAGAGATGGCTCCAAGGCCTCTGTGTCCTCCGTCAGCTCTCCCTCCCCGCCGCGCTCCCGGGGCAGGGAGGAGACGGGGCAGCAGCTGAGCCTCCAGGAGCGCTTGAGGCTGAAGGAGGAGAAGAAGAAGCAGGCTGCGCTCATGAAAGCCTTGGAGACGCCCGAGGAGAAACGGGCTCGCCGGCTGGCCAAGAAGGAGGCCAAGGAGAGAAAGAAGCGGGAGAAGATGGGGTGGGGAGAGGAGTACATGGGTTACACCAACACCGACAATCCCTTTGGGGACAACAACCTGCTGGGCACCTTCATCTGGAGCAAGGTGAGCTCTCCTCTGTGTGTTGTAGGAGGCTGTTGGAAGGAGCTCGTGCCCCTGCGGCCACCATGGGACAGGACAGAGGAGCAGTGGGTCACCGGGGGGGGACCTCTGCTTGAGGCGGGAACCTCTGTAACACTAAAAGCAGCCACATGAGAGCAAAGCGCTCACCTAGGGCAGCAGCTGGGTGTTTCTGATGAGCTCAGTGGGGTTTTACCCCCTTTCTCTTGAAGACCCAGGTCTGTAGCCAGGGGTGTGGGATGAGGAGGTGCATCAGGGTGCAGGAGAGGGACCCAGACCTGCTGGGAGCTGCCAGCTGAGTGCTGGGCAGTGTTTACTGGTGTGTTAGCGCTTGCCAGGTCGGGTGGTCTCCCTGGGCTGAGCCTGGATTTTGCTGAGGGGCTTCAGGAGTAGGACTTGAGGGGTTTGGGGATCTTTGACAGGATCAGAGCTTGCTGGAGCAGCAGAAGCGGGTGGATGTGGTGGCATTTGCTGGCTGGTGAGAGACTGTAGAGGCTGCTGGGTTTCACAGCTTCCCTTGGCCACTCTATTTCAGGCACTGGAAAAGAAAGGGATCAGCCACCTGGATGAGAAGGACCTGAAGGAGAGGAACAAGCGAATCCAGGAGGACAATCGCCTGGAGCTGCAGAAGGTGGGATCAGAAGTCCCCTCCCTCCCACTGTCTGACAGAGAACCCTGTGGACAGCACAGTTCTCCCAGTCACTCGCCTGAAAGTCCCCTTGTTCTTCTCACTGGGGGTGCCCACAGGCTGTAGGATGTAGGATCGGGGGGACCGCAGCGTACTGACTTCTGCTATTGCAGGGTGAGAAGACTCCTCTTGGGGTTGAGTCCAGCTCAGGAGGTGCTGAGGAGGACAAGTGCCAGGTCACGGCACTGAGGCACTTGGTTGTGCTTGTGTCCCGTCCTCCAAAGGGCTGGCAGCGAGCAGCAAGCACCCGGCCCCACTGGCCCACGCTGGCTCTTCTGCATGGCTCCTGGCTCCCTGGGGGGCCTCGGGCCGATCGCAGGAGCCAAGGCAGCTCAGTGAGCAGGGTTACGGCTGCATCCTCAAACAGGTGTCCTGCATGGGTGCCCCATCCACAGTGGCCTCACGTCTCCCTTCACCCCGGGCAGGTGAAGCAGCTGCGCCTGGAGCGGGAGCGGGAGAAGGCGATGCGTGAGCAGGAGCTGGAGATGCTGCAGCGGGAGAAAGAGGCAGAGCACTTCAAAACCTGGGAGGAGCAGGAGGACAACTTCCACCTGCAGCAGGCCAAGCTGCGGTATGCGTGTGGCTTTGCAGGGACGGGCCCCCCCTAGGGAGCAGAGGATGGCAGGCGCTGCTCACTGTTCCTCTCCTCTTACCCAGCTCTAAGATCCGGATTCGGGATGGGAGGGCGAAACCTATTGACCTTCTGGCCAAGTACATCAGCGCGGAGGACGACGACCTGGCTGTGGAGATGCACGAGCCCTACACCTTCCTGAACGGCCTGACTGTCTCCGACATGGAGGATCTGGTGGAGGACATCCAGGTGCCAGCTCCGCCGCCCCTGTGCCAGGACTGGCTGAGGGGCCACAGCTCAAGGCTTCCCCCCTCAGCTCTGCTTCCCTGCCCATGGTGCCAGAGCAGATGCCTGACATCCTGCTTGTCACCTGCCTGCAGGTTTACATGGAGCTGGAGCAAGGGAAGAACGTGGACTTTTGGAGGGACATGACCATCATCACAGAGGATGAGATAGCCAAGCTCCGCAAACTGGAGGCCTCTGGGAAAGGAGGACCCGGTAAGCGGGAGGGCAGAGCCTGGTGTGGGTGTCAAGGGGAGCGTAAGCAGGGCGTAGGGTCTGCCGTGTGCGCGCAGGCTCAGAGGGGTTCTCTGGGATCTGCTGGATGGAGGCTGTGGATCTGGCAGCCATCCCCTGCTGCCGGGTGCAGCCCAGGAGGAGCTGGGTGAAGGCAGGCTGAGCGCTCGGAGACTGACTGGCCGCCCTTGCCTGTCTGTTCAGGGGAGCGTCGGGATGGCGTCAATGCCTCTGTCAGCTCAGACGTGCAGTCCGTGTTCAAGGGGAAGACGTACAACCAGCTGCAAGTGCTGTACCAGGGCATCGAGAGCAAGATCCGGGCAGGAGGACCCAACCTTGACATTGGCTACTGGGAGAGCCTGCTGCAGCAGCTGAAGGCTTACATGGCTCGGGCCAGGTGAGAGCAGGGACTGTCCCCTGGCCAGGGCTGTGGAAAGGGGCAGCACAGACCCCGCCATGAGCAGAGATGGGGAGGCACAAACCCGAAGTCGTTGGTGGAGGAGTTTTGTACCTTTTCTGAGATGGCTGGTTCTCCCAAGAGGGGAGAAGGGCTGGACACTCGGTCCCTTCTCCAGCAGCAGTGTTCAGCAGAGGTCTCCAAAGAGAGAACCAAACTGGAGGGTTATTCAGCCCAAAACTGTACAAAACGCAGCAGATTTCTACCTGATGTGGTGGGTGTCACAGCTCTGTGCAGCATGGGCATGAGATGGTTCTGCTGGGTGGGACTTGATGGCTCATCTCCTCTTTGCAGGCTGAGGGAGCGGCACCAGGATGTGCTGCGCCAGAAACTGTACAAGTTGAAGCAGGAGCAGGGTGTGGAGAGCGAACCGCTTTTCCCCATCATCAAGCGGGAGCCAGCCTCCCCCAGCGACAGGTACGCAGCCCATTCTTTGGGGAGCGCAGCCATCCAGGCCTCTCCCATGGGGCACCCAGGACAGAAAATACAGCCTCGTGCTCCTGTCCTTCAATAGACAGCCCTCAGGTGAGCAGAGAACAAGGGTACCATCCCCGTCCCAGTTCCCTCTTCTCTCTTCCTTGCAGGCTGGACCCAGAGGAGAACATTGTGGTACAGCCGGGGCCGTCCTCGGAGCCAGAGGCCGAGCAGGACACAGAGGT